GGGCAGAAAAAAATTATTGAAAACGGATGCAGGTGTTGGGGGCCGGATGGTGGATTTGGGGGCCGGATGGTGGTGTTGGGGGCCGGATGGTGGTGTTGGGGGCCAGATGGTGGTGTTGGGGGCCGGATGGTGGTGTTGGGGGCCGGATGGTGGTGTTGGGGGCCAGATGGTGGTGTTGGGGGCCGGATGGTAGTGCTGGGGGCGGGCTGGGCATTGGAGGGGGCTCAGCTTGTACCTAGCAGATGCCAGAAGCCCCTCCCGGGCCAATGTGACAACAGACGTTTCCCACTGTCCCTCGGGCACAGACTCCCCCGTGGAAACCCCTGCACCGGAAGGGGAACCAGCTCCCGCTGGAGGGCGTCACATCAGCCCCCAGCTCTTTGGGGGCCCAGGCATCGCTGCCCAAGGGTCCCTGATGGCCTGGGGACACCTCCAAGCAGTTCAGGTCCCTTGCCCACAGGCGGGCCTCGGCTGGCCCAGGCGGCCGGGCTTCCAGGCCTGAGCTCTCTCCTGCCCGAGCTGCCGCCCCACCAACGGCCCCTCACCACGCCGGTCGCCTCCCTCAGCCTGTGAGCGCGGCTGTAAATACACCCCTCAGGGGTCCTCGCCTCCCTCCTCCATACCCCCATTAGTGCCACTCATCCGGACCGCCCCGCACGGCAAGGTGGTGATGGACACCGGTCTCGGGGGCGGGTCATGCGTGGGGGTGGGCGTGGGTCCTGGCTCCACCCACCAGCTGAGTGTCTGTAGACAAGCCGGCCACTCCTGGGGCCTCAGTCTGACCTGAGAAATGGGGAGATGAACGCTCCCTACGAGGTTCTGTGAGATCGCGTGTGTTCATGATAACATCTCAGGACAGCGCCTTGTGTGGGCATCCAATAAACACGCAAAATGCCACTGTTTAAAGGACACGGCCAGGCTGTGGCATATCTGTGTCCATATCGAATGGAAGATGCTCTGTTTAAAGCAGTGATTCCCAAAGTGGGCGCTACTGCTCCCCGGTGGGCGCTGCAGCGATCCAGGGGGGCGGTGATGGCCACAGGTGCATTTGGGGGCGATGAGTAACTGCTATTAAAATTTAAAAAAAATTAATTTCCAGGGGCTGAGTAATACTTTTTCTGGAAAGGGGGCGGTAGGCCAAATAAGTTTGGGAACCTCTGGTTTAAAGGATCCCGCATTTCCTAAAGAGCAATGCGATTCTCCTCACTAGTATCTTCCTAGCGACTTAGCGATGTCACAACAACATAACAAAACGCTGAGGAGGCCGTGGGACACGATGAAACGGACGTGGAGGTGGACGCAGCCCGACAGGCCGCCACAGGGCTCATTCGTGGACCTGAGTTCCAGCTCCGAGTCCAGTTCCTCAGGTTACCAAAACAAAGACGTTTTTGGTTAAAAACTTTCTGGTTAGGGAATGGCACTGGTAGCGTGTCCCTGTGACTCATTCACTGTGAGATCTTAGGCGCATGACCTCTGACAAGAACGCTCCCTCAGAGATAATTTCCACCGACATCACATGCTGGGGACGCAGTGAGGCCTGGGAGGGAGGACTCGGGGCTGGTAAGTCCGGGCGCGATGAGCCCAATCCGTTCTTTTCATGCCAGAGACGACCAACCCTTTCCCTCCGTCCATCCCTCCAACCAACCCAAACAGGACCCACCAACAGCTCGGACGAAAGCTGCCCCCGAGAGGGCAGTGCCATCGCGCGCACACCTGTGCGTGGGGGCAGGGCCTGGGGGCGCTCAGGTGATTCTCTTCGGGATCAGTTTACCC